TATCACAAGCTTTTGAATACGGCTCTGTCTAAAACTGACCAATCAAATGCTGTCTGACAATTAGAAACTAGCTGGCCGACTAGTAGCACCTTTGTCCGAGTACTGGCAAAGTAGCCCCTTTTTGATTAATATTTTTTTATAAAATTACAGGAATATCTACAAAAGTTAACATCATAATATTGTATGATCAGTTCCCAAAGCATTTGTTGTGTTATCTTGAACACAGAATTCGTAATTATACTTTGTATTCCACTTTTTTCTAAACTGTCCGACCATAGGCACATTCACTATGTTTATCCTATCTCTTCCTGAGGCGTAGGATTGGTACAAAGGCGATATACTTTTGGATTATATTTTTTCTATTACTGATTGTACTAAGTTTTATTAGATTAAGGTAGCTCATTGCTTCAATCTGAGGAAATGTTTTTTCGTGAAGAGCCCATATTAACGGTTCTGGCAAAACCTATGTATGACTGATGCCACTTGGAAAATTGCAGTAGAAGTTGTTTCAAAGGCGTGGGAAGTATAGAGTCAGCCTACTTGACATTTTTTTGTAGCAGCAATACAGCTGGTAACTTTCCACGCTATATCTAGGATGATTTAAGTTCTTTAAACACTGGAGCTATATATAGATGCAGATATAGACACAATGACGATATTACATATACTAAATTTAGAAATAAAAATATATCTGTGCATCTAAATCTTGCTTTCAATAACTGCGGTAATATAAGCAGACAATAGCAATAGCTTCAGGGTAAGAACCTGTAAACTCAAAGCAAGTGAAACAAAGACGGTCTACAGAGTGCAAATGATAAAGTTTATTAAAAATTGGTTGCAAGATACGTACATCTGTTGCCATGCAGATTATGTCGACGCACCCCAATGTACGAAACTTGACACGAAAGGTCTGTTGAAAGTCAATTTGCGGCGCAGCCATACGGTGGAACGCTGCGCCAGTCCCTTGTCATGGAGCCCTTTTTTCTACTGCGCAGGTCTACTAGTAAGAGAGCCCGCTAGGAAGAGCGATCCACATGTTTCCCTGTTAACTCAATCTCGCAAAAGCTTACGCACACGATACATGGAACTTGACCATTTTTATAAGCTTCTATTTAACTTGATCTCTTTGTTAGTATTAGGCAAATCTCGGAACTAAATGGGTGAATCGAAATGGCGATTTACACGTTCCGTGACCAGTTGAGCTAAAACATTATATACGCGTTTCTCATGACAACAAACAATAAATAATAGCGGCAGCTGCTGGTAAAAACCTAAGCTACTTGTTTAGGGCTAAGAAGTACTTTTCTCCACATCACCTCCAGGCCCAGATAAGACCTAGCCTCGAGATTCGTTCACATATTAGGGGTGCTACCGCCCCGACTACATTATCCATCATCGATGCTGCTTAGATGAGGGCTGCCCGACTGATCGAAGACTCTTCACTAACGAAGAGTCTCGGGACCCTTTCGCACCGGCGGATCGTCGGCGTTTTAGCTCTCTTCTACCGCTACGCCAATGGTCTTTGCTCCTGAGAGCTCTTCTACATGATACGCAATGTGGCTACCAGACAGTCCCTCCCATCCTAACCGAGTCGGACTCCGTGCATCCAGGACTGGCCGATACGACCGCTCCTCAGAGATTGTGGAACAATCTACATGATGAGGATTTACCAAGTTCTCCTTAGCTTAGGCAGTTCAAAAATCGGATTAACAAAGTTTCTTTAAGATCCTCATTGCAACCGCTGTGCCCTGGCATTTAGGCTTTACATGCGCGGCTGCTTCGGCATAAAAAATATGTATGTTGCTTCATACGATACGAAATTACTATTACAGCTGTAAAAACGGGTTTAAAATGCATGGAGCTACAAAATGATACACAAAATTCGTCACAAATTGTTTCTAGATCCGGAGCTGAAAATATTGTTTTGTACCTTAAAGCATCCCACAAACCGGCGCGAAATAATCGCGGCGAAGTATTCGCAACGAAATTAAGAGCGAAATTCGCAATCTGTTTCGCCTGTTTATTCATACCAAAGCGTCTTATTCGCTCCGCGAACGTGAAGGTTTCGACAGGTTGCGTACATTTTATTTTTGCCTTTTGCAATGAGCTCGTCTTCAGAAGAAGAGGAGGCACTTCTATTTCTTGCTTTAGAAGAGGAACAAAATGCACGGTAAGTTATATTTATTTAACGCCATTTGATAGTTGGGTATGTATTAAGTTTAACGAAGTACATAAAACAAATATTTTCAATTTTGTTTAGGAAACGAAGGAAGTGGGTACATGATATTAACTTGGAACGAAATAAATTTGGGGAATACCATACCTTGATGCCACAACTTCGGCTGGATGAACAGTGCTTTTACGTATATTTTAGAATGACTCTAGAGTGTTTCGATGAAATATTAAACTTGGTGAAAGATGAAATACGAAAATCTGACACAAATTATCGTGAAGCTATTTCGCCAGAAGAACGACTTGCTATTACACTCAGGTAAAAAAATTATATGTATTAAAATTAGTAGGCTTATCGAATACGAAAACTTCAGGGATCGTGAAATAAATATTTTATTGTAATAATTGGACTACATGTTGCCACTAGGATTAAATATTATATTGCTAAATAATTCGAGGCAGAATTTGCCTCCTCTGTTGGGTATATTATTGTAGTATACCCAGTGCCGCTTGGGAAGGACGACATACTACTATCATACATACTTGCAGAATTCTGGGTAGACGCTGAAGACATTTCTTCAATATGTTCAAATTCTTCGTGCGCTATTAATTCGGCTATTTTTAGTTTTATTCGGGCTTGACGCTTTAAGGGAAGTGTTTTCACAGTCTGTGCATGTGCCAAGAAAAGTGAATCAATGGCCTCGTTCTCTTTTTTAGGTTTTTTACCTTCAAAATAATTAATGAGCTGTTGTACAGACGAAGATGGTGGTTCATAGCGTTTTCTGCTCGTTTTATATTTTGGTGTAGTTGCAGTCTGCGGAAAGGTGTGCCCTGGAGTAGTCACTGCTGTAGTGTTCAATGAAGAAGGTGGTGCTGTCTGTGTTGCCGAGGCGTTCTGTGCATCTTCTGCATCTACATCAGCATTTTCATCTTCTCCATGGCCGCGGTCTTCCAAATTTTCGGTTTCTACATTTCCAGCCCTTTCCTGATATATATTTGAGTTAAATTCGGCAGTCTCATAATGTATGACGTCAATATCTTTCACATTAGACGACGTTTTGGCAAATGCCAAAAAAGGACGGAAAAATTCCATGTAGTCAGCCCACTGCCATTTTTTTATGTTGCCCACTGCTTGGCCGGTCTTTGGTTTGGTAGATTTTATATATTTTGCAAATGTGTCTCTGATATTCTTCGACCTTTTTTTTACTTCATCACCTAAAAACGATTTTTTTTATAGATTCCTTGCCACTGGTGACACCTTCTATACCATTGGGCATAGCTTTCGAGTTGGCTTTACAACAGTGAGTGCAATCGTAACCGAAGTCTGTGAAATATGGAAAAAATGTGCTGAAGAATTTGAAAATAGATGGGGATTTCCCAATTGCATTGGCAGCGTGGACGGTAAACATGTAACAATCAAGAGACAACAGTGGCTCCAATTACTGGTGCTTTTTACATAAATATTCAATAGTACTTATGGCCATTGTTGGCCCGGACTATAAATTTATATGTGTTGATATTGGTGGTTTCGGAAAAAATAGTGATGGGGGTATTTTCGAAACCTCAAACATGGGAAAACGATTTGAACAAAATTTAATGAGTGTCCCTGCACCTAGATTTCTCCCTGGGCAAAATGAAATCTGCTCGTACGTCTTAATTGGTGATGAAGCATTTGCTTTAAAACCATACCTTATGAGACCATTTCCTTATAAGCAGACTTTAACAGACGTCAGAAAAGAGAAATACAATGTAAGACTTTGTCGAGCTAGAAGGGTCGTGGAAAATGCGTTTGGTATTTTGTCTCAAAAATGGCGAATATTTTACAGGTCATTAGAAACTAAAGTAGATACTACTATTCTAATTGTACGTACGGCATCTGTTTTACACAATTTTTTATGAAGTAAAAGTGGCGATGACAAATATTTTCAATTCTTAGAAGGCTAGCATTTTCTACTCGTGACAAATTCGTAAATTATTTTACTTCTGATATGCCTATGCCCAATATATAGAATGTTCGTTTTCACATTTGTGTAGACTGTAAATTATTTAACAAGTTAATAAAAAATATTAGGCACATACCATTTGTATTTAATTCTTTTCCTATTTCCATCCAAATCTTGTCTTTCTTTCTCACATTCCTGTATTCATCGTTCGACAAATCATACAAACAAGGATACTTTTTCACTATTTCTATCAATAATTCCGTTTTTGCCATTGCGAATTTTTGAAGAACGGCGTCAAAAACGCGGTCAAAGGCGAACCGAAATACGCCGCGATAAAAACGCTGGAACAATCGCATTCGCTTCGCACAAGTCTGTCCGTAAACCGCCGCGTTTTAATCTGATCGCGAATTCATCGCCGCGAAATTTTCGCAGCCAAAGCGAATATTTCGCGCCGGTTTGTGGGATGCTTTAAACGGTATTTTTCAGTTCCAAGGTCAATTCCCAAACTTGAAACATGCCAATTATCAACGGCTGCTTTGTCTGAGAGTAAAAAGTAATAGTCTGCCTAAAAATTGGCCAGTTCGCCCAGAACGACATCGATATTTTGTACCGGTCAGGAAAGGGAGTAGGCGCGATTTCTTCGCACATTATTAATATCATCAACAGCCATCATAACATAACAACAAAACTCATCGCAGGCCGTTATCCTTCAATAAAATAAAAAGTTTCTATATGGGCAGAAAACTTGCCGCGCGATCTCTGACTAAATCGAACCATCCTGTCGCGTGGATCTGGGCACATCTCAAGCACAGAACCGGAATGCCGAACTTCTCGTATTGAAAAGGTTGAAAGAGTTTTTTGGTATGTGAATGATGGAACATTGTGGTGAGAAATTTTATTTTATTGTGAGTATATCAAAAATATAAAATATAGTAAATTATATTCCTTATTTCCCAAGCAGGTATAATCAGGATCTGTGATAAAACTATGTAATATGCAAACATTCTCCACTCTTCAATGTAGGGATGTCTGTAATGTTTTCAGTCACAAAAAGAGTCACTAGAACTGAATGTTATGAGTTCTTGGGTTATTATTATAGATAAATCTTAAAAATCCTCTCGCTCACACTGTTACTTATGTCTCAAGTTGACTCTGAAGCCAAAGTCACTTGAAATCTCTTGATCACCAGAGGCTTGGTCGCGATTTGTGGTTTCTCCGAACATTGTGGCAACTGCTCCTCGGCAGCTGAGTTTTCCGAGTTAATATTTTCGGTACTGTTAACAGTAACTTCTGAGCGGTCTATCTTCATTGCTTTAATCCTCTTTTTGAGATCGGTAAATACTTCATAGTTGTCTTCGGTCTCATTTCCTAAAAAAAAAATACCTTAATAGGCAATTTTTTTCAGATCACAAATGCGCAGAGGTTTTCGAATCTTTTTTTGTGAAAATATGACTTTGTAGGCCAAACTTTCCAATTTCGTCTCTCGCTGTTACAAATGTAATTTGTTTTTGTCACAATTGATCATGCTAGGTAAAATTCCAAGTGCGTATTGACAGAACAAGAATGTCCTGGATAAGGTGTCTCACACCCATTTTACGAGGTCGTCTCGTACTATCAAAATTTCAGCCAAATCGGACCCGTAGTTTTGTTTTGACTGCGTGAGGCAGCGGGCGTATCCGCGGATTTCAGAAAAATGGGAAAAGGTCGGTGATTCGATTCTTGTTTTTGCGCGGCAAAATCAAAGAGCGCTTAGGTGCTGTTTACGGTGGCTCTTCTCCTTCGATGGCAACCGTCAAAAATTGGTTTAAGGAGTTTCAACGTGGTCGCACGGAGGATAACGTGACAAAAATCCACGATATTGTATTGGCGGACCACCGATTAAGGGGGCGCGAGATAGCTGAGACAGCGTGGGTCATATCCTGCATAAAAAATTGGGCATAAGAAAGCTATCTGGGCGATGGGTGCCGCGTTGGCTCACTCCTGACAACAAGCGCAACAGTGATACCACTTCAGAGCAGTGTTTGGCGCTGCTTAAGCGTAATCCGGATTTCTGCAGCGTTTCGTGACCGTCGACGAAACATGAGATCAAGGCAAAATCGAAACCGTGGACTTCACCCGGCTAACGTGCTCTGAAGAAGGCGGGAAAGGTGATGGCCACCGTTTTTTTTATACTCCAACCACCACGAAGGCCTAAGGCCTAAACGCCCACAGGGTGCCGTGGGGCTATAGGGGATATAGGGGAAAGGGGGAACGCCGCACGGAGTCTGGCGAGGGAACACGTGTGCCACCGTTTTCTGGGATGTGTGACCTATAGCGACTACCCTTATGCCGAATTATTGGACCGATTCGACGCCCAATTGCAGAAAAAAGTGCCCCGTTTGGTGAAGGAAAAAGCGCCCTTCCACCATGACAACGCACCGGCTCACACCTCCGCCGTCGCCACAGCCGAATCGGTCGAACTAATCTACGAACTGCTGCCCCATCCACCGTATTCTCTACGACTGTGACTTCTGTTTGTTTCCAAACTTGAAAAAATCACTCGCCTGGCAGACATTTGAGTCGAGTGAGGAGGCCCACTTTATCAGACCTCCAGAAAACTTATTTTTCGGACGGGTGTACCCAGCTAAAAGGAGAGTATGTTAAGAAATAAATAGGTAGTCACTTTCCAAAATGTTAGTTTTTCTTTTGTAGGCTAAGTACTTATCGGACCACCCTCGTACATCAACAAATTCTTCACGAATTTATTCAGATGGATTTCTTCAAAGTCACCCTGATCATGTTTTGTGGTGTTTACGCCAATGAACAAATGCATGGATGATCTGTCAGTACTCAGTGCTGCCAACCACCAACAACAAATTCTTACTATACTACATTTATTTAAAACTGTAATGACTCATACGCGTGATCAACACGTGATCAGAGCTCGATCCCGGCTTCCTTCCAGTACAGCCGTATAGCGTACGACATATGTCGTTTCTGTGGCTTTGCGGTGGTCAACAGCACAGACAGAGATGGAAATAATGGCTGATTGTTCTCCGCCGGTAGAACCAATGAAATCAAAGACGCGCCTCGACTGGCAGACTCATAGGCGTCGGCAACGCATTGGAACGTGTTTCGTTGAGCGATCGCATATTGTGTGTTTTTATAAGAATTGTTGTGTGACTGTTATTGTTGTGGTTTCTGTGGTTACTGTTTTGGTTATACTTAACCATGGAGAGTACAAATGGCACGAGTGGAAGTACTGAAAGCCAGGGAACAAGTAGACGGCTTCGTAAAGCACTGAAGAGGGACGCGAAAGAAATCGTGCTCAACGTGTTCAATTATCTGAACAGAACTATGTCTCAGGGAGATGCACTCGCGCGTTGTGAAAGTATAACAGGCGTTCCAGAGTGGACCATTCGCAGGGTGGTGCATGAAAAGAAGAAAACTGGAGCTACTACTGATCCAAAGTTTAATTTGAAGGGACGAAAGGCCGTTAAATTGGATGACGATAGCAAAATGGCGTTAAGGCGAACCGTACATTCATTCTTCTTTAGGAATGAGATACCAACCCGCAAGGCTGTACATGCAGCGATCAAGGAAAATGAAATTATACCCCAAATGAGCGTCGAGGTAATGAGGAAATCCCTGCACGAAATTAATTTTCGTTACGAAACGCGTAATCGGAAGTCAGTATTGATAGAGAGACCTGAAATAGTCGCCTGGCGTCGAAAATACCTACGCGAAATGATTGAATATAGGCGACAAAGCAGAAAAATCTATTATTTGGACGAGACATGGGTAAGTGCAGGTCACACAGTTAAAAAAACCTGGATAGACAAAAACGTAGTGAGTAACCGACAAGCAAGCATTGAAGGTTTGTCAACAGGTCTTCGTGGACCGTCAGGGAAAGGTCAAAGATTGATCGTAACTCATATTGGTAGCGATAGTGGCTTTTTAGAAGAGTGTGACTTGATTTTCGTCTCTAAGAAAGGAGGTGATTACCATGACGAAATGAATGCCAGCTGCTTCGAGAGCTGGTTTCAAGGGGTGCTTCAGCGAGTTGAGCCCAACTCTGTGATCGTCATGGATAATGCTTCCTACCATAGTCGTCGAGCCGAACGTGTACCGACTATGGGATCTCGAAAAAGTGACATGCAGCAATGGTTGCGCGAAAAAGGAATCCCGTTTGACGATTCATGTGTGAAAGCGGAATTGTATGAAAAAATTAAACAGCACAAACCTGCGAACATTAGTTACGTGACTGATGAGATGACCCGTCAATGTGGTGTCACTGTGCTGCGGTTACCGCCCTACCACTGTGAACTGAACCCAATAGAGCTCATCTGGGCTCAAGTGAAGGGTTATATTGCGCGCCATAACACAACCTTCAAATTACCAGACGTTAAGGTTTTACTTGAGACTTCCATACAGCTAGTAACGCCCGAAGCTTGGCAGAATGCTATCCGTCATGTTGTGAAGGAAGAAACAAAAATGTGGCAGCTTGACCACCACATCGACACCATCATAGAGCCAGTTATAGTCAATTTCAACGAGGAAAGCGATAGCGACAGTTTATTACTGTCAGATGTAAGTGGAAGCGACGATGAATAAAGGTAATTCCCAAATTTTTGACTTACAATATGTTTCAAACCACTCTTTATTAAGCATGTGACAAATCTAGTTCACCCATGTTAAACATTCATACCCCGCCTATAAACAGCCGACTACTGGTAGTTAAGTGATGTTCACGTGAACATCGATGAGTCATTACAGTTTTAGATAGTTATAGTATAGAAACATTTGAGCTTTTATGTCTATTGTGGTTTTGATTTTGAGGCGAATCTCATAAACGAACCATATTGAATTGAAAAGATTTTCAATATAATGGAGAGGAAAACAAGGTTGGCACCGTAGAGTTTGACGTTCAATTTCACAAAAATTAGAACAAGTTCTAATTTCGTTAAGAAATCCACGAAGAACTTCTGGATGTATTAGACGTCAATTTCCTGTTTGAAATTAGGCCATGAACTCAATTCATGAAGAAATCCGTGGATTTATTGTCAATACAAAACGAGTATCAGAAAATATTTAGATTGTAGTTTCCTCTCAGCTGTTCAAAGATCACTATAGGATTACCCACCCAGAAAACCTCCGTAGCCGAGATGGTGCGTGAAGGAGAAGATAATTTGGGGCTTTGAATTTAAGGAAGAAAATTGGCCGCTTGGACCCTCTATGAGTTTCGTCAAATGCTTATTTCGAGGTTGAAACCTTACTTAACTGGAGTACGGCAGTACCTTGCTCCGCAGATTCGTCTTCATTTTCGTGAACGATCTGAATTTCACATTTAAGATCTGCAAAGACTTCATAAGTGTTATCTTCATCTTCTGAATTCTTTGGTGAACTACTAACAGGCTCATCCAGTATCTGGCTTGGTAAGGATTTCACAACAGGCGGTGCAACTTTGATGGGTGATTTTTTCAACTGAATCCTTCCTGGTAAAGGCGGACGTATTTCAACCCTTTCATTCAAGTTACTTACACGTAGTTTATCCTTTACCCTGCAATATTGAAAAGATCGAAATGTCTGACATTGCAAAGTTTCGTTTGGTGCCTGCAAAGCAAGTAGCCGATTGACAGAAAGTACATTGGACGACATGTGAATTGGCAGGATGTCAAACTTGCTGAATCATTAAAAAAAATGAACCCAGGCTTTCAAATTCTGACGCGTCTTTGATGTGTTCGAGCGTATTTAGTGGCATTTGGCAATGGTTATCGCTTGAAACTTAAGCTTATGATCTTTAGAACATTTGGTGTCAAGACGATGCAACAAGGCCCGTAAAACAATCTACGGTGACAACAATTTGGCAAGCACCTAATTTCTCATATCCGGAGCGATAAATTTATTTATTTATTTACGGTTTCCCATTGCATAAAAAAACATTACATTTCTGACAGATTGCAACAGCTTTATATAAATCATTAAACTAAAGACGAACGATTCATGTGATACCCAACCCTCTATATTAATCGATATATACTAAGTGACATATAAATCCGAACACCCAGTTTAAATGGTTTTATTTTAATAAAAGTTGGTGAATGTATTTATCTTACTGTAAATAACAAGTGAAAAAATTTTCAGCCTTATCAGTTCCGGTTTTTATACTGCTTTTTTTTTAATTCACTAACGCTCTAAAAATGAATATTTCAGCCGCAGTAAAGGATCAACGTTGGCGGATTTTGGTTCTTGACATCCTTTACGATCGGTTACGATGCCTAGAGTACGGAGACCTGTGCGATTTCGGCAACTTAGTGAGTTTGATAGGGGCCGTATAGTGGGACTTCGGGAAGCTCGACTTTCTTTTCGGGCAATTCCAGTTAGAGTGCACACTGTGGTTAGGTGTTGTCAGGCATGGCTTCGAGAAGGCCGTACGCAAAGAGCAAGGGGCACTGGACGCCGCCGTAGAACAACAGACCGTGAAGATCGCCGCCTAAGATTATTGGCCTTAAGGGACCGTTTCTCCACTACCAGGTCCATTGCAAATAAATGGTTTGCAGAACACGGAAGACCTATTGGCATGCGAAGTGTTTACCGACGAATAAGAAGTTTTGGCTTGTTTTCATACCGGCCACACTGGGTCCTCCCTTTAACTCGAGAACACCGACGTAATCGCCTTGAGTGGTGCAGACAACGGTCACTCTGGGATCAGGAATGGAACAGTATTGTCTTTAGTGACGAGTCTCGATTTGGTTTAGGCATGCACGATGGTCGTGCCAGGGTTAGAAGGCGACGTGGTGAAAGGAGGAATCCACAGTTTTTTGTTGGAAGACATGTTCATCACACTGTTGGAGTTATGGTTTGGGGTGCTATAGCTTATGGTTCCAGGTCACCTTTAATCTTCATCAGAGGTAACACGAACGCGCAGCGTTATATCCACAAGGTTCTAGAACCCCATCTTTTACCCTATCTTGACACCCTGGCAGATCCAACTTTCCAACAAGATAATGCCCGGCCACATGTTGCAAGAGTCACAATAGACTTCTTTCAACATAATGATGTCACATTGTTACCATGGCCACCAAGATCTAACGACTTATCCCCAATTGAGCACGTGTGGGATATGATGGGTAGGAGATTGCTCAATTTGCAACGTCCTCCTCAGACTCTAGAAGCACTTCGAGAGGAGTTGGTGGTTGCCTGGAATGAGATACCACAGGAGGACATTGACCACCTGATCAGAAGCATGCCTAGGCGCGTTGGAGAATGCGTAGCACATCAGGGTGCATCCACACATTATTAAAGGTCAAAGGGCTTTAAAGCAGTGCAATCATTTTGAAATTTTTATCATTTACTTATCATGCTTCATTAAGTACTTATACAAAATTTTATTAAAATAAAACCATTTAAACTGTGTGTTCGGATTTATATGTCACTTAGTATAGTTTAGAGCGGCGTTGAAAGATCTAAGAATTTTAGTAACTATTTATTCACACCCTAATTGGTAGAATTACGAGGGCGTTTCTATAATTACTTATCCTCACCGCCATATGATGCCACTATCGCAAGAAAAATTTACTATCGTGTAGTAATATCGTAATGTATTGGCAGATAAACAGATTATGTTGAGAAATAAATCGCCACTTTTCCAAAAAATTTGTATTTCTAAACAGTTCTGTATTACGAGTTCATCTTTCAATAACATTCAGATTTATTTGTGCAAGCACCTCTGGGCAATCTATGACACTATTTAGATACCTACTCTTTTAAATGGAAAACAAATCAAAATTTTCCCTACGGTATTTGAATGTACTTATTAGTTCTACAGCATTCTGACTGCCATCTTAATAGCTGCTTATTTTAAAAATAGGTACCTAAAATGATTTCGTCACTCACCTTAGAAAAAAGATTTAGTAGATTGGATTTATTCTTAGTCGCCGCTTGCAATTCTTCTTCGATTCTCTTAGATACAATAATATCTAGTTCCTTGTCGGATTTTGCTTGTAATTTGTAATTTCGCCACACTTCGTTAACTAACTTTTGTACATTTTGTACTTTCGTACTTGTATGAGATTTTTTAAAACCTTCAAACAATTTTTGGTATAATTTTGATTTGTCTATGTGAAACGACATCTTATTTAAACATTAAACTTTGGCTAATGGAATTAATGGTAACACAAATGTTAACTTGCTTTACTATGCTTACAATACGTCTACTCGCTATAGTATCCAAACGAAACAATACACTGATAGAGGAAAAAAAAAACGTATCCATTATTTGCGGGAATCCCCGAAAATGCGTTTCGTTTTCAAGCAAAGACAATGTGAGGGTTGCCATTCGTGTAAAAAAGTAAATAACTACCGATAACTTAATCATCATCTAGACTCCCCTACCCCCCATGTCATCCAAAATAAGCAAAGCAAAGTACCATAGTGCTCACGTAATACTTGAACGGCCCCCTACCATTTTTTTTCTGAAAATGATCAGGATCCGTTGAAACGTCAAAAAGCGAAGTTTGATCAATAAGTAAAGTACCTCTAAATGAATCACCCATTACCAACCAAATATTCGCTTTGCAGGCATATTTTCGAGATATTTTGTAATGCAATATACAGCTCTATATGTAACGTACGTTTCTAGTTCTTCATACAGCTCATCACTTTCAGTGGACTTTTTCGGAGTACATGGGTTGTTTTTCATTACGTCATATTCTGCATCAGAACTGACTGACTCTAAATCTGGTTCTATCAGGCCATCGTGGATTTTGTTGATCTGCCAGACCCACTGCATCATTTCCTCTCTTGTTGGAGCTATGAACTATAATATAGCAATATTTAGGATATTCTACAAAACTATTATTTCAGCTGATATGCATACGAGGGTTGTCTCAAAAATAATGTTCCCAACGCTGAATCTTTGCCGCGAATGATGCCAGGTGTAATCTGGCCACAGCATCCTGTTTGTCGGCTTCCCCACCACCGATCCCAACCAGAAGCGATGCTCAGTACCGGCGCGACAGCCATGCGCAATGAAGCCTTCATCGCCGTCATCGCCAGGAGCGAAAGTCGTGCCGTCATCCGATTTTTGCACACAAAAACGTTACCACCCATAAACATTTATCGCCGCTTGAGTGAGGTATATGGAGAAATATGTATAAGCATTCAAAATGTCCTCAAATGGTGAAGAGAGGCCGTCGATCTTCGAGGAAGTTCTGGCGAAGGTTGAACAAATCTTGCTCGAAGATCACCGAATCAAGACCCGGGGACAGGCGGTTGAAATTCCTCAGGCTTCTGAAAAAGCTGAGAAGGGCAAACCAAAATCGGCGTAAGGGAAGACTCACCAAGGCGTAAGACTGCACCACAACAATGCGCATCCTGTCTCACAACAAACGCAAAAAATGCATAGAAAAAATGACGGCTATGAAGAAAAATAGCTTGAAGATCAACGTTTCCAATGGTGAATTCGTTTTTCAAATAAAAAATTCCTTGTGCCTGAAAAAAATGTTGGAACCCTATTTTTGAAACAACCCTCGTATATAAAAGCTACGAGTAAAATATACGAATTTTTATGTCGAAATTTCTATTTTCATCTCTAGGCTGATAAAACAGAATATGGCCAGAAAAAGTGTAGTAACATAAGGTCAAATTTGAGGGAGAAAATAGGTCGTCTGGGATACGCAAGGAAATAACTAGAGCATTACCGGATCTCGTAGCTGTTCCGGAAAAATCATTTTAAGGGCCCTTGCTATGGTTCAAAAGCTAGAAAAGCCATGATTAATTAGGCTATTACAGTAAGCTTTTTTTGTTATTTTTCAGACCGTAATCAATAAAGTTTGGTTTTGAGATTGAACCGATAACCTTAAATATATCCTAATCCTGGTTACAAGTGGTCGTCCACTCACAGAACCTGGTTAATCCATGATATAAATATATACAAAGTGACATATAAATCCGAACACCCAGTTTAAATGGTTTTATTTCAATAAAATTTTGTATAAGTACTCAATGAAGCATAATAAGTAAATGATAAAAATTTAAAAATGATTGCACTGCTTTAAAGCCCTTTGACCTTTAATAATGTGTGGATGCACCCTGATGTGCTACGCATTCTCCAACGCGCCTAGGCATGCTTCTGATCAGGTGGTCAATGTCGTCCTGTGGTATCTCATTCCAGGCAACCACCAACTCCTCTCGAAGTGCTTCTAGAGTCTGAGGAGGACGTTGCAATTTCAGCAACCTCCTACCCATCATATCCCACACGTGCTCAATTGGGGATAAGTCGGGAGATCTTGGTGGCCATGGTATCAATCTGACATCATTATGTTGAAAGAAGGCTGTTGTGACTCTTGCAACATGTGGTCGGGCATTATCTTGTTGGAAAGTTGGATCTGCCAGGGTGTCAAGATAGGGTAAAAGATGGGGTTCTAGAACTTCGTGGATATAACGCTGCGCGTTCATGTTACCTCTGATGAAGATTAAAGGTGACCTGGAACCATAAGCTATAGCACCCCAAACCATAACTCCAACAGTGTGATGAACATGTCTTTCAACAAAAAACTGTGGATTCCTCCTTTCACCACGTTGCCTTCTAACCCTGGCACGACAATCGTGCATGCCTAAACAAAATCGAGACTCGTCACTAAAGACAATTCTGGTCCATTCCTGATCCCAGAGTGACCGTTGTCTGCACCACTCAAGGCGATTACGTCGGTGTTCTCGAGTTAAAGAGAGGACCCAGTGTGGCCGGTATGAAAACAAGCCAAAACTTCTCATTCGTCGGTAAACACTTTGCATGCCAATAGGTTTTCCGTGTTCTGCAAACCATTCATTTGCAATGGACCTGGTAGTGGAGAAACGGTCCCTTAAGGCCAATAATCTTAGCCGGCGATCTTCACGGTCTGTTGTTCTACGGCGGCGTCCAGTGCCCCTTGCTCTTTGCGTACGGCCTTCTCGAAGCCATGCCTGACAACACCTAACCACAGTGTCTACACTTCTTTGCACTCTAACTGCAATTGCCCGAAAAGAAAGTCCAGCTTCCCGAAGTCCCACTAAACGGCCCCTATCAAACTCACTAAGTTGATGAAATCGTACAGGTCTCCGTACTCTAGGCATCGTAACCGATCGTAAAGGATGTCAAGAACCAAAATCCGCCAACGTTGATTCTTTACTGCGGCTGAAATATTCATTTTTAGAGCGTTAATGAATTAAATAAAACCAGTATAAAAACCGGAATGTCCAACTGATAAGGCTGGCTGAAAATTTTTTCACTTGTTATTTACAGTAAGATAAATACATTCACCAACTTTTATTAAAATAAAACCATTTAAACTGGGTGTTCGGATTTATATGTCACTTAGTATACATTTGAATTCGAATTTTAAGCAATGCACAAGTCGTCGCAACATTCAGCGCCAAAAAAATTTCAGTCCGAACCTGTACTACCTGTAGCACTGCCTAACGCTGAAGTCCAAGTCAAATCCACTCGCCTAATATTAGCCAGAGTGATTTTGCTGACCCGTGCTTTTCAAAAAGGTTTACCTTACTTGTTTTTTGAACGGGACAAGTTAGCAAGCTGAAATTCGCTATGATGAAATTGATGCACGGGTACTATACAGGATGTTTTCATAGTTGAGTCATTCATTTTAACTGCTTATAGAACTCGTCAAAAGAAGTTGATAAAGCAAAAATCACGTATATAAAATTTGCATAATAAGAGAGTTAGTTAAGTCAAGTTAAATGGATACCGTTTTTACAAAAGCTGTTCAAAATTGTCCCCATTTGTTCAATTAACGCCAAATCTTGCTCGGTGAATCCACGACTTTTTACAAGCTTAGACAATAAAATCCTGGGGTCCACGAATTGAATCACAAGCATTTTCAGTGAGTGCACTGTTGAAGCTCTTCTAGGGTATTTACTGCTCCATCATGATACACCAACTCCTTCAAATAGCCCCACAGAAAAAATTCCAAGGCGTTAAATACGGGGAGCGAGTAGGTCAAGAAATGAGTCCATTGCGCCCTATCCATCTATTCGGAAACTCATTACTCATCATTTTTTCGCACAAAATAATCAGAAAAATGAAAGTATACGCACTATTAAAAGACATACATATGAGTTATAAGATCGATGCCTCGAGATCGCCTTTTAAAAAGTTTATTTTCGAAAATACAAAAACTCAAAAATGTACAAAATTATTACAATGTTATTATGATGTAAACAGTACAAAGGGTTAAATCTGACTGACTATAAAATGTGTTGAGAAGAATAAAGTAAACTCTAGGTCTTGTAGGAAATTAGTAGCATCGTCGGCAGTATTCCTGACATATCAGCAGGAACGGCTGATATAAGTTATGTATACAGGGTGACTTTGAAGTTGAGTCATTAATTTTCAGATAATGATTGTAGAAGGAAGATAAACCAAAATATGGGTGTAAAAATAAAAAAAAAATAAAAAAAAAATGTTACCTTGTTTTATAGAGTATCCTCCCGACAAGCATTTCAGTGCGGACCTGTATTTGATCGTGTGGTCTTGGAGCACCGGCATGCCCTCCCCTTTGAGGTCTTAAATAACCTGATTCACGAGCCCTTTGTACTACATTCAGCATTTTCGTAAACATGTGCCATTTTTTATTTCGTTTGAGCCACGCAACAATCACCACTATTCACTCACGCGTTACCGACTGACACATTGACTAAATACAACTGAATAAAATTGTACATTGTAGTAAAAACATCGTTTCAAATTCTTTCGCTTTTTTGTTTCCGATGCGATGAACGGATAAGGCGGGTTATATCCGTTGTTGCCAAACACGAGCACATAATATTATTATTGAGACAGGACGGTACTCAAACTTCTAAAGGGCTATAACTTTGTTACTTTAATTCTACCAGAAAAATGTTAAAGGAAAAAAACATTTCTTTTGATCAGGTCTACTCACTGTTAAAATAAATGACTCAACTTCGAAGTGATCGAACCAAAGACTCGTACTGAAAACCGTATAATAACACAAATTTAGAGAAACGGTAAGAATAGTAAACAAAAACGCTAAGAGTTTACACGAATTCTTATTTTTTAATTTTTTTATCTTTTTACTATTTCTTATGCAACTTTTATATAGGTGATTTTTTGTATATCAACTCCTTTTGACAAGTCCTACAAGCAGTTAAAATGAATGACTCAATTTTGAAAACACCCAGTATTTTAGCATAAAAGTGCAAGTTGATTTTTTATTTTTTTTTTAAATGGAATGGGTGGTCGTGTGATACCTCAGCTCCTACTCCGGCATTTGTATTTTAGATATGGCAATCCTTGTCCTAACGTTAAACTGACGGCTAATTTGGAACCAGATCACTGACAAGCAAGGATATTTTGGAACTTCCTCATAGCATATCACTTACGTGGAGAGGTTTCTGTTCAGGACTATCACAGATGAGATTGAAGTTTCTGCTGGTACTTTCAGTGTTTTCTTTGGCTGTATAGTTCTTCAAATCGATCAAACCGATTGGCTTGGAGTCTTTTTCGGTGTAGTAAATCAACAAAACGTCGTTATGAATATTCGCATACACACGTTTCATTTTTCCGAAGCCAAGCAAAATTTTTCGTTTCATTAAAATATATCCACATTTGACTGACTCTGTGTCTTGTGCTGGTAAATCTGAAAGCATGATAAGATAATTGATGCAAAGGAGTGGTCGTACCGTTCACTTTGCGATAAACAGAAGCCTGGAGGATCCATCTGGCAGGTCTAGAATGCGACGGCATCAGAGTACCAAAGTCCGCCTACCGATAGACCAGCGGATTTTGCGCTCCTGAACTTCCATGATCAGGACAGACAAACTCGCCAAGCTTCTGCTTCTCATTCTGACACCGTCGATTTTTGCACATCGGAAACAGATACGAGGCCTGTCAATTAAGTGATAAGAGTGGCAACGTTACGTTAGATCTGGCAACACTGGGCTTGAAGGGGAGACAGGGGAACATGTCATCCGCCTTTAGTACAATTTTGAACTCGTTGGAGTAATTTGGTTGTCCGTAGCGATTTTTTTTTTTGTAAAACCGTTTTTCCTATCGTGTTCTAAAAATAAATGACATCAATACTGTCTAGGTTTTGCGTCAGACTTGGGCACAGCGCAATAGAAACTCTTCACCAAACCTACGGAGATAGTGTTTTGTCATGAGCCCAAGTTTTTCGATTGTTCAAGGCATTTTCAGAAGAGTGAAGATGAACTACGAAGCGGAAGACCAAGAAGCGATGAAAATATCGACAGAATCCGGGATCTTGTTCGTTCAGATCGTCGGTTGACAGTCAGAATGATCGGGGAAGAGTGAAATTTGACTCACACCACCGTTCATCAGATCAAGAACAACAGGGGTTAACAAAAAATCATTCTCATCACTTAATTTACGGACCTCATATGTACCACCTTTATTCCTATTAGGGTTAGATTATGAAACTCTGCCTGGACAGGTTTTCCCATTTCTACAAGCCTTAGCCTTAAACAGTTAAAAAACAGGATGAGCAATATTCCAAAAGCTTTTGTAGACCTACCTTTGTAAAGAATAGTTTTATTTGCTGTGATTGCTTCTTTATCTTCCCTTGTATCATCTACAGAAGAATACGTATTATTTTTCCCGTCTTCATCATTTACTAAAACTATAAGGAAAATGGCTTTTAAAAGTGTTTAGCTTATTTTTCTCTCACAAGTCAAAAATTAACCCTGTTACGACACTTCCTACTGTCTACATGTGTTTTTATTGCACAAATGTACCTTATCATTTTTCAAAAACTCATGCATGTTAATAAGGAAACGCTAAACACTTTCAAACCACATGCGTATAAACCTTTTCTGTCCATGATAACGTATTCCTCATTTTGGGCAGTGCACTGTATTCTAGAAATTTCTTGAAGTTGTTTTTTCGAACGCTGTATCAGAGATTCAGCTAGTGTTCTATCTGTCTGCGAAAGATTCGTTAGTTTTTCGTTGGATAAGAACTTGCAAATATCTGGAAATAAACACAATGACGTAGCTCAAAAAACAGTCAAATATAGATCGGTTTAGGACTCAGTTCAAAAGCAGGAATTTTTGGAATAATTTTGCAAAATATCACAACCTGTTGAAGATGTGCAGATCCAGGGGGAGCCAAGGCTTTTCCCTAGCTCGGCAAGAATTAAATGGGTAGAACACTTTTTAACAAAAATTAAATTATTCATTTACAGGGTTTCCCACAAGCTGAACCAATTAGTTGAAATTTATGTCAGATATAAACTAATTTTGCTAAAAACATATAATATGTTACGTGTGTTTCAAATTCAAACCTCGCCTTTGGGATCTCGGAAACGGTAAAGCGAATGTCACACGATCAGTAATTACTGTGGTCCGTGTGGATGTCTGCAAACATCATCATAAAATACCTTCCATTCGATTCCGATTCCGGCTTAGGAACCACTTCCTTCTATTCAAGTACGATTCCGATTCTGGCCTCGGAATCGATTGCCTTCGATTCATTCACGATTACGATCCCTTCCATTCCTTCACGGCTCCGATTCTGGCTTCTGAATCGATTTCTTCCAGTTGTTTACGATTCCCGGCATTTGAATCCTTCCCTTCGATATGCTCATTTGCTTATGCAATTCAAATTTAGGTTTATTTGCCACAAAAACGGAATCCTGAACGAATGCAAGGAATCGATTTCCAGGCCGGAAACGGAATCGTAAGCAAATCGAAGAAATGGATTCTGTGGCTGGAATCGGAATCGTAGTAAAGGAATGGAAGGAATTGATTCAGAGGCCGGAATCGGAATTGAAATGAATGGAAAGAATCAATTCCAAGGTCTGCGATCTAAGTCGTAAAAGAATAAACCCGCGGGTTCGTATCCCGTTCCAGTAGAACTTTTCTGTTGACTATGGATATTGTGATTTTCCGTAGGTCTCTGACTGTCTAATGCGGTGGTACCACCCGGCGGATCTCTAAGGTCCTTTAAACCGAGATAACAATGGAGGAGTTGGTAAATTTTCAGCAAGTTTAACCGGTCTCCATATCCATGGAATCCGGGTGGACAATTTTGAGGGAAAATTTGCTACTCTCCCACTCTTCAAACATTTTTTGTGACATGTACACTTTCACAACAAGTTATATCTTGTCGATGATCGCCCCCCTGAAAACGATTCATGTGGGCGCTCTTGACCATACAGGGTGACTTTGAAGTTGAGTCATTAATTTTCAGATAATGATTGTAGAAGGATGATAAACCAAAATATGTGCGTAAAAATAAAAAACAATGTTTACCTTGTTTTATAAAGTATCATCCCGACAAGCATTTCAGTGCGGACCTGTATTTGATCGTGAGGTCTTGGAGCACCGGCATGCCCCCACCTGTGAGGTCTTAAGTCACCTGATTCACGAGCCCGTTGTACTACATTAACAAAGGCACGAGGGGTTGGTTGCACTCGATTGGGAAACCGATCCGCATAAACATGTGCCATTTTTTATTTCGTTTGAGCCACGCAGTAAACACCACTATTCACTCACGCGTTACCGACTGACACATTGACTGAATAAAAACATCGTGATCAGCGTTTCAAATTCTTTCGCTTTTTTGTTTCCGATGCGATGAACCGATAAGGCGGATTATATCCTCGCCAAACACGAGCACATAATATTATTATTGGTACTCAAACTTCTACAGGGCTATAACTTTGTTACTTTAATTTTACCACAAAAATGTTAAAGGAAAAAACATTTCTTTTGATCAGATCTACTCACTGTTAAAATAAATGACTCAACTTCGAAGTCACCCTGTATAGTCGTATCGTGTTCATGATTCTTCGGACATTTTTGTGATCACAATAGTTGCGTGGGAGGTAAAATGCGGAAATTCAGCGTAATGTATCAGTAACTTATCAAACAGATTATAATAAGCATAACACGCAGCAAATATTGGTAAAAAACTCACCTTCTAATAAATCATTTAGATCGTAATAGAGCTGTTTAAAATCCATCTCCATGTCACAGAGAAATACACGAAACTACGCCATTCATAAGACTCAATCCCAAAAAATAACACTGTCTTCACCACGTCTTCATAACGACAGTCAAGAATACGGCCATTTAAAATTTATAATTAGCTCTATAACGCTCCCGCAGAGTATTTGTGCCTGTTATGGAAACAGAACGTATCAGTCTCTATGACGGTCGACTGTAAGTGCTTGAGCTCAATGATTAATCTTTGGCGTATTCAGGATATACGTACGCCATATAGTCCAGTCACTATACGCTGGGCGCCAAAATTAGCACCCATTTGTACGTTCGGCTTGACGATTAACCCTTATGAAGTAAAGCACAGTAGAGCGCCTTTGTCGTGCATAGCACGAAATGGGGTGCCAACTTGCTTGAATCCTCTCCGCTTAATTATTTAGTCGTCCTGTACACTGAGAACCTGATGGCTTGAGTTCAATGTGTATGAGAGACAAGTGAGTACAGACACGTATGTTAGAAAGAAATAGAAGCGGGCTGGATAGCGAAGCTCATCACCGCGTTGCCTAGCAACGCTGACGCGGCAATCTGCTGCGTTGCCAATATGTTACACCACTTCCTTGAATTAATATGCACATTGAAAATATGCGCTAGTTTATCCTTTGCGCCCAAATAATGGTTTTATTTAGGGCGTACATATTTTTGAATTATGAATTGTATCGAATCTGTTTAGGATTGATTTTCGACCGATACTAACGGCGTCCCATTTTAGATCGGAATAAAATATCAGGATCTCCGCAAATTCTGCAACATTGCATCATTGGTTCCTTTGATAACACCGCATCTTGTACGTTCCAAAGCAAGGTTTCCACCTTCATGGTCACCGCAGCGCTGTCGCAAAATGTAACAATAAGTCAGGATGTGTTGATTTTATCACCAACGGTGGAAATAAAGATGATTCTAAAATAAATTAAAACACTAAGTCGCATCAAAGTTGAAATAAATAATTCTAACAAAACATGCAGCTTCCTTAGAAATGGGTCGTTTTTGAATAAGATGCAAAAAATTAGAATCAGAATATTTTTTGCGAGCAAAGATACTTCCTGGACGTTATAATGCTTATTCTTAGGATTCCAATACATTAGATCCTGACGCCGCATAGCGATCTGAAATGTGGACGCAACACTTCCCATTCGCCATATCGCTCAAAAAGACGATAATCGTCTACCTGTTCTAATAACATATTTTACGGTTCTCTCGAGGAACTTTCCAAAAACCCCTGCGTATCTTTGATCTAGACTCTAGATTAAACTCGTTTTCTGGACTAAATTAGATTCTAAACCGGCATCAGTTTGCCCCACAAACTCCTATACAGGGTTATTCAAAAAATCGTGGCAATACTTCCAAAAATAAAACGAACTTTCTCTGTGCATGGGTTTTAAAATGGTCTCTTACAAAGTGTTGAGACGTTTGAAATCGAAAAAATATATCTTTGGACTTAATACATACATCTAGTATTATAATAGCATAGCCAATATGTGACTTCGAAGTTGAGTCATTTATTTCAACAGTGAGTAGATCTGATCAAAAGAAATGTTTTTTTCCTTTACCATTTTTCTGGTAAAATTAAAGTAACAAAGTTATAGCCCTTTGGAAGTTTGAGTACCGCCCTGTCTCAATAATAATATTATGTGCTCGTGTTTGGCAACAACGGATATAATCCGCCTTATCGGTTCATCGCATCGGAAACTAAAGAGCGAAAGAATTTGGAACGATGTTTTTACAATTATTTTATTCAGTTGTATAGAGTCAGTGTCAGGCGGTAACGCGTGAGTGAATAGTGGTGTCTGTTGCGTGGCTCAAACGAAATAAAAAATGGCAAATGTTTATGCGGATCGGTTTCCCAATCGAGTGCAACCAACCCCTCGTGCCTTTGTTAATGTAGTACAACGGGCTCGTGAATCAGATGACTTAAGACCTCACAGGGGACGACATGCCGGTGCTCCAAGACCTCACGATCAAATACAGGTCCGCACTGAAATACTTGTCGGTAGGATACTTTATTAAACAAGGTAAAAAAAATTTTTTTTTTTTATTTTTACACACATATTTTGGTTTATCTTCCTTCTACAATCGTTATCTGAAAATTAATGACTCAACTTCAAAGTCACCCTGTATACACAAATGTTCATGCTTTCAGACTATACAATTGGTGTAGAAATTAAAAGTTTATTATGCGTACAGAAGAAGAAGAAAGGAGATTATTTTCTTCGCCACCAACTTTTTTAAAACATGTATTGTATTTTTGAATAAGGTATTCAATTTTATAGTAAGCCTCTATTGAGAATTTTTCATTGGTTTGAATATTTGAGGTAAAATCCTTATAACAAAAAATTTAAGCCGTTCTACTTTGAAAATACGCTGAAGTTAGTCAAGTTTGACTTTGAAATTTACAACATGCTGTATCTTGGTAATGGGATATTTCAGACCTACCTTCTACTCTAGAAATATCGACAGTTTTTCTGTAAAAACTCGTTTTCTGGGTTAGTAGATTTCGAATTCGACGTTAACTCAACGCTAGGGCCTTCGACAGGTGCCAAGCTACTCTTTTTCTACCTTAAACTTTGCTCGACGGCAGTTAATATTTTTTTAGCGGCCATACTGTATATCAGTGTCCTAAATTACTTGGGTTTATAAAGTTATAGTTACATATGTGTCGTAAATTTGTAGTAACGGAAGACGAAAATAGAAATAATCATTTAAAAGTTCAGTTTGACTGTACCATAACTCATCGCTAGTTGCATCGGATGTTGTCTTTTTTTGTGGTTTCTGTCTCACCGCTTCCGATAATATGCTCTTTTGGTCATACGGATCGACAGATATGTTCTGTACCGGATGTTTCCGATATCATACCAGGGTTGAGTGAATTTTCTACCAAAAGATATCTCACTCAACCAAAAATAGGTACGTAGGAGGTATAGAGTCAATCTAGGTGACTTTTTACAATTTCAAAGAACCTGCTGCATACCTAAATAAATATAGTGTTGTCTATAATTTCCACAAACATTATGATGTCACATGTTCTAGATAGGTAGATACACGGTCTTAAGCCAATTGACCTCTTTCATCAAAGGTTAAGATCACAATGATGTGTCTCATAATCCATTAGCGTGCATCCAAAATTTTGTAAGGAAAAAATACGTTGAAGACTACTAAAAAATTCAGTTTTTAAAAACAGCGTTGTCTCAAAAACAATTTGATGCGCGTCGTCGAGCTTTTCACCGTAGCATCGATCGTTTTCATAGTTTACTGTGGATCAAACAATACCACGACTTGGCTGGGCGGGTCATATTCCAGATCGGGATTATTATATTTTTCTGAAGAGGCATGAAACTTTGTTACATTCCAGCTATCTAGGTTAAACGGTTCAGTCTGGAGGCGCGCTCAAAGTTTGAAGCTTCGGAAAAAATGTGAGCCTTTTTGCCAACTCTCGCTACTTCTGTCTCTGGAAGCCAATTGGCTACATAATATATGACTTTTCCAAAATAAAATTTTCCGAGGAATTCGAAAATGATCTCCAAAATGCCATCAGATAATCCGTTAGAAATATATTTCAGTTCAAAAGTGATTTTGAAATTAAAAAAAAGTTGCGTTATACAAATACCGTTTACAAAGTTTGAATGCCATCTTCGTTGAGTTATTTAGAAAACAATATATTTTTGCAAATTTTACTTAGAAATGTATTTGTTCAAATAACTCAGAATTGGAAATGCAGTCAAATTCTGTAAACTGCATTTGAGGAGGCCTTTTTCGCAACTTTTCGATTTTCTCGCTACTCCTGGCCCTGGGAGGCATTAGGTGCCGCAATACACGACAATTTCGAAGTAAAATTGTCCGAGGAATTGAAAAATGACCGCCAAATTGCGATCTGAAATTCACTCTTGTTTCAGTCAATAGTGATTTATTCGTTTGATTGCCTTCCGAAACAAAAAAATCTACGAAAACATTTTTTTCCCTTTGGAGAAGGATCTACCTATCGTCCTATAAGAGTTGAATTTTTACTCGGTCGATTAGACCTTTAGAACCAATCTTCAACATTTTGGTCCAAAATTTGTAATTTTTACCATACTAGCGGAGATATAAACTTTATTGGAGTTTGAGCCAATCAAGAGGTTATCAGCTATGTTACAAATACAGCTTGTTGAGGGATTACTTAAAAAAACAATAGTTCATTATTCCCAAGCTGAAGATTGTAAAATCAAAAATGATTAGAGCCACAGCTTTGGTTAAATGAGGAAAATGTTGCGTAATATAAAAACATTTCGAATGCAATATGCAGTTTACAGAATTTGGCTGCCTTTTCCAATTTTGAGCTGTTCGAACAAGGGTATTCCAAATAATTCAAAATATGAAGACGGCGTCCAAATTTTGCATGTACAGGGTTTGTCCGGAAAGTAATAGGACTGAGTCGATTTAAAAAATTATTGAGCCAATCGTTAGAATTCTTTAAAAACCTTCAAAATAGGCTCCTTCTGCGTCGATGCAGCGCTGCCAGCGCGATTTCCAACTGCCAGTCGGCTGCGATGTCTTGTCGGGCCCGACTGACCCTTCGTTTGAGCCTCCTGAGCACTTCCACGCAAAACTTGGCGTTGACGGTTTGTCCAGGAGGAACAAATTCATGGTGGACGATGCCTGTGATGTCAAAAAAGACAATGAGCATCATTTTCACTTTGGATTTGCTCATTCTTCCCTTTTTTGGGCGAGGAAACGCCGTCGTGTGCTACTCGGAAGATTGTCTCGGGATCATACTCAAACATCCACGACTCGTCACTTGTGATTACGTTATTCAAAAATTGGGGGTCACTTTCACACATGTTCAAATTTTCTTGGCACACTTCCACTCGCCGAAATTTCTGGTCGTTAGTGAGCACTTTTGGGACCATCTTCGCGTACACCTTGCGCATGTTCAAATGCTGTGTCACAATGTCATGAACCACAGATTTTGGTAAATTTAACATCTGGGCAATTAAACGGATACTTAGTCGACAGTCTGAGTTCCAAGTGCTCGGAGACACCTGACCAGCCGCTCATTCGTTAGCTAGGAACGCCCTCTACCGAATCCAGTCAGTGCGCGCACACTCCGAAGTACAGTCATGGCGGAAGAAAATGAGTCCTACTACTTTCCGGACAAACCCTGTGGAAGGCATTTGTACGAGGGTTGTTTGAAAAATATGGCTCACATTTTTTTCAGGAACAAGGAATTTTTTATTTGACAAAACGAATTCACCATCAGAAACGTTGATCTTTTCTTCTCCTTTATGACAAAAAACTAATTTTGTTTTTTTTTGGAACACGTTCAAATTGCAAGCTCAATAAAACCATGAAAAATCATTTTTCAACTGAAATATATGTCTAGCGGGTTACCAGATCGAAAGCTGGAGACCGTTATGCAATTTCTTGGATATTATTTCGGAATAGACAGTAGTAGCGAGAAAATTAAAGTGTTGCCAAAAGGGCTAAGATTCGTATTTTTTCCGAAGCTTCAGTCTTTGAGCGCGCCTCCCGACTGAACCGACCGATCTAGCACTCCGAGATTGCATGTCTCATGCCTCTATAGGTACTTCAGAAAAATAAATTAATCCAGATCTGAGCATAACCCCTCCTCCAGTATCATAAAAATTACCATTTTGGGCCAAAATATCGATATTAGATCCAAAGGCCTATTCTACCAATTTAAAGTCCCGCGTACAAAGTTAATTGATATAAGAGACAAATTAGTCCATTTTATTCATAAAAAAAATATTTTTTTTGTTTCGGAAGGCATTCGAATTTGGGATGGAAAATAGATCGCTTAGGACCACTCGTACGTTGTATCATCAAATTGACATCGGATTTAGAAATACGCTAAGATTTTTTACCATCTTAATTTCTACAAATTGCGAAAATTGGATGTCACGAAAAAAATGTCGCTCATTTCTCTATCCACTAATCTCTAACCCCTTATAATTTGAAAGGTATCGTTCGGATTTTGATAAAATTTTGATACAATGTCACTGGTATGCTAAGGGAAAAAATCGCTTCTTCTTTTTTGATATTTCAGAGGCTTCTGATCATTTTCAGAAAAAAATTATCAAGAGGTAAAACAAAGATAAGGAGATATAGGGCATGGGAAAAGGTAAATCTGATTTTTAGCCTTAGTATAGTTATCAAATGGGTGGGAATTAGTCCATACTGACTAATTGTGTGGGTCTGTTTGACTGTCTTGATCCATTTAATTTCTCTGCTATACAAGCAAACGTTTTTCTTAGAGGGTCTGACTTTTTTATACCTAGCCGCGCGTTCAGAAGCCTAAATGCCAAGCTAACACGGCTGCTATGAGGATCCCAAAGACAATTTGTTAACCCGATTTTTTAAATGGCTAAGGTTAGTAGAACTGGGGAAAGCCTCCTTTTGTAGATTATTCCACAATCTCGACACCCTCGGGACAACGGAGCGGTCGTATCGGCCAGTTCTGGATGTACGAAGTTCGACACGGTTAGGTTGAGATGTCCAAGCAAAGGCCGTTGGTATAGCGGTAGAAGAGAGCTAGATCGCCGACGGCCCGCCGGTGCGAAAGGGTCTCGAGATTGTCTGTTAGAGAAGATTCATCGATCAGTCGAACAACCCTCCTGGACAGCATCGCGCATAAATAACGTAGTCGGGGCGGCAACACCCCAAAAGTGTGAGCAATTCTCGAGGCTGGGTCTTGTATAGAGTGAGGAGGTCATATGGAGAAAAGAACTTCTTAGCCTTAAACAAATAGCCTTTCCCAGCAGCTGCCGCTATTAAGATGTGTTCGTGCCAGATCAAGTCCTCGGTGATCTGGACTCCGACCAGAAAAAATGAACGGCTCTTTGCCAGAACTCGAAAATGGATGAGCGCTAGGACGCTTTTTGTTCGTCAAAGTACACCATAAAACTGGATGAGTTTACTCCACAACTGAGTGACGTAAGGTAGGAGATCCCGAGTGGGTGCCGCAAAGTTTACTGCCTGTCGCTAATCAAGCCGTGACTTTCAAGGTAGTTCAGAAGCTCGCGATTTATGCACCTCTCCATCACTTTACTTATGACAGAAAGCAGAGCTATAGGACTGTAGTTGTAAGGGTCGGCCTTAGAACCTTTTTTTTTGATAGGTTGGCAAATTTTCAATTATCTGGGAAGGTGACGGATTCATATCTGGAAGAGGCGCGAAAGAACTGGAGCAACATCCGCTGCATACCTCTTCAATACAATGGCAGGAATCAAGTCCGATCCAGAAGCTTTGTTGATGTAGAGCGACAAAAGCACCCGTCTTACGGTCTTATGCCTGAATGTTACTTCCCGCATAGTGTAGGGAATCATTTGAATCGACGGCACGTGCGTTGACGGACATAAACCTTTACGAACTGATAGCATTGCGTGAAAAGCAGTCGCGTAGGCAAAAGCCTAAATGCCAAGACAGCGCTGTCGAGGATCCCAAAGAAACTTTATTAATCCAATTTTTGAACTGTCCAAGGTTAGTATAACAGGGAAAAGCCTTCTCTTGTGCAGTATCCCACAATCTTGACACACTAGGGACAAAGGAACGGTCGTATCGGCGAGTTCTGGTTGTACGATGTTCGACACGGTTAAAATGGGAGGCCGAAGTCAGGCTACATACTTGATGCCATTTTTTGTATTTGTACGAGTTTGGGATATAAAATTAGGCATGCGACCATTCAAAACATGATTGACTGACATGGATCACAGATTTTCTCTATAGTTTTGAACATAAAATGAAACATCGCAAACTTTTAATATTATATTTATTATCCATACAAAAAAGAAAACAATAGTAAATGATTCCATGTTTTCACATTAATTTCATATCACATTTCAAACAGCACATTCATACGCACATCCATGAAAGTAATACTCTAATAACTCATTTAAGTATATATTTTTAAGACAAAATTTATAAATAAACGATTTCCTTATACTAACGACGGTCCAAAGATCGTAAAAACAGTGAGAAATAAAAAAAAACAGGTGGAAAGGTACATAGATTGAAGAACATAAATTTACAGGTTAAGACAGTAACATATCATTTCCACAAAATTAGAAATACATACAGGGACAGAATTAGCAAAGTTGCCACATATCGGAACACTCATAAAACTTCCGACTCAAAAATTTCTGAAATTAAATAGAGATAAAATTTCACGTAACATCTCGCCGAAAATATATACAGGATGTCCCAAAAAATGAATAAAAAGGATATTTCTAAAAAAATCACTTGCAAATATGGGCAACACATCTGAAATATCCTTTTAGATGGAAAGTTATCTATAATGCGAGAAAGATGCTTCTGTCAACGAAATATCTTACTTGCAAGATTGGATTGATGCCTGCAAAACACATAGTCGATATGCAGAAATCGCCTTGAAAAAAAAATGGGTGGATTGGGGATCCTTATCAGTTTTTTTATGAAAAAATGTGAACGATTGACTCCCTGGTGTTTTAGTGCGTCTTATATCGGTAGACATATCATTTTGCAGACACCAATCGGTTTTTTACGACAAAAATGATGACTGCTACACAAACCTGCGGATCCAATCAAATTACAATAACTGTTAAGAGCTTGTGGACTCCTTTTTTAACTATTGTATGTACACATAGACATGACAATAATGATGGCAACACAGATCAGAAAAATCTGTTCCCTTAAATTCTTTACTGTGATGTTTCATACTGGTTGTAGAGTAATTTTCGGATCTGTATAGCTCGGAATGTAGACACATGCAATTTTTTTTTTATAGAAATGGTAACAAAAAATTTCGATACAGGATGACTGCTTTTTTGTTCCCTAGTCAAAAAAAATTACATAAATAAGTATAAATACGTATATATTACAAATTACAACAGTGTAAATAGAAAATACTCTTAGCTGGTATAAAGGAGTCTATACCACTTTACTGAACGAAGTGTAGACATTTATTTTTCGAAAGCGGTAATGAATCCTTTATAGAAAATAAACCTACAGTGCCAAGACACATATTTTCGAGATTACGACCCTTTTTTGAGGTTCAATTATGTACTTCGGAATTTTGATACACCCTTTATCATTGTTGTATCATGAATGTTGTTCTTAGGTCAAAATACCTATAAATTAAATAATTTTTAAATAACTTCACGTCTATATTTGTGATGTTTCGTTACATTTTAGACATATCAGTAAATTTACCTACAATAGCCACAATACTAATCTCTTTATACACTTCTCGATCTAAAAACGCCTCAAACATTACAAATATGGGATTCAAGTGGTGTTTTTTTTTTACCTAGAAGTAACATAAAGCCCAGAGTATACTTTGGGCGCGCTCTAAAGACATCCGTATTTTCTTTAAATTATTTTTCTAAGTTCAGTATGCTACATTTCCAAAATTATGTACCTATCTAAATTATTTTTTGTCTACAATTAAAATCGATTTAATTTCCAGAACAACATTCAGGATGAATAAATGATTACATCAGAAAAAGATAAATAAATGAATGGCGTAGATAATTCAAGAAATTACAAAAAACATCAGCTAAGAATAAACACGTGAAGAAGTTCTTAATTAAAAATTTTCAGCATAAAGTCGTGATTGTTAAGATATACCCAAAATGGTATGGATCAGACACCAATTAAAAAAATATTGAGAACAAAACCGATATAAAACAACGAAGACACCGATAAAAATATATAAATAAAAAATTAACTGTTAGTCAGCCACTTTAACTGATAAAAAACAATAGCGTACAGAATAATCCTTTCAGCACCAAACGTCCCTACTAGCATATATATATATATATATATATATATATATATATATATATATATATATATATATATATATATATATATATATATATATATATATATATATATATATATTATAATGACGTCATTTTAACGTTTCGAAATAACGTTCCATGGACGTCTTGAAGCGACGTTAATTTGACGCATTTATGCTTCTAGGAATATAGATAATGGCGCACTTCGATTATTCCCGTACGTCAGTGGAAAATTAAACATTATACAGAACAAAGATGTTTTCCGTGACAGGACAGTCAGCCTGTATACAGATGGAACGAAAACTCGTTTGATCAAAAACCCATATATTTCTGCAGGGAGTTTTGAAAATTACATCGGGTTATTCAAAATGAAAGGTTTCGTCCAATTTCTGCACACCTCAATGGCTATTCGAGAAAAAATAATTCCCGTTCCAATCTGGTTTATATTAAATAGTTAATGCCGGTGGACTATGACTTGTGGTGCCTGTGAAGATAAAACGATGCAACTTCGCCCCCAAATAAAAAAATTAATTCTGCCCCACTATATAATTCCTGGGCCAAATCGATTCTAGTTTCCGGACCATAAAGCGATCTTTTTAAGCTCATTAGAAGACAAAGTAAAGCCCATTTATAAAGTCGCGGTCGGTAGTTGGTCGTTGCAGTTCAGTATCAATTTATAAACTCCCAAATGCAACTGAAAATTGTCAGGAACTTAGGGTAACAAAACCTCAATCTCAATGTGGTACTTCGTTATTGTGATTATCACAACTAGCATTAGTGCAAAAATGTTCATAAAAGTCTAAATGAAATGGATCCAGGAAGTAAACCTGTCAGTCAACGCTTTTCTAATGAGTACTATCAGATTTTGAGGAAGACTGCAACTGCAAAAGTTGAGAATTGGCCAAGTCGAACAACCAACGGCTACGACGAACGACAAAAGTTTATATATGTTTATACAGATTGCCTAACTTTTAACTTGAACGCCAACTGGAACGATAACGAGTTCATAAATCGGCCTGTATCCTTGGCCAGTAATGAGCAAAAAGCAAGATATTGTTTCTGCACGTGACAGATCCACGTTTTCATATTGGATAGTTCTACATTGTTACACGACCCAAAAAAAAAGAACATTCCAATAGACGTTTATACCGCTCCAGGTTAAATCACGCAATTCAAAAAACATTCTAGAAATTATGGCAACAGCGCATCGGCTTAGCAAACAGTTCCCAGTATGGCCAACTTCAAATTTTATCACACTGGCTAAACCGAACGTACTGTGGCCATATTGCTAGTTGATCGGTGAGAACGTGACTTTGGGCCTAATGCTTCACTTGAACATATCAAGTCGTCTTACTTGCTTTGACAGTCTTGACAGATGGGAGACAGGAACTTTGTCTCAATGAGCCTTGTGCGATTCTGAGGTCTCTTTGTTGCCGTGCGTAGGCGTAGGTTCCAGAGGTAATATGGAGGCGCTAGAGTCTACAGAGTGCAAGATCAGGCAAATAAGACGACTTCACAATGAATATGCCTCAAGAAACGATTATGCATTTGGCGCTTGAGGGGTCCTTAAGTCCGAAGCGGTGTAAACTAGTGTGAGCGAGATAGCTTTAAGCGGGGGTTACCTTTTTGGGGCGAATTTACATGTCCCCCAGCACAGAGTTGGCGCACATGTCCAATAAGTAGTCCGGTACACAGGGTTCGGGTTGCTCTATCTCAGCTCTGGCTCATAGGAAGATCTGCAAACAGAACATAACTCGTGACTAGTGTAGTCGTTGAACTGGAGGATCGAAGAGCTGAGTACGAGCACACCACCCCCGAGGTTAGTTAGGTTAGGAAGGAAGAAGAGGCGTCCACCAGCGCGCAAGAGGCGAGGGTTTATTGCATAAAGTACTCAGGATGGTCCGAGTCTTTCTCAAACCTCTTGGCCTCTTCTTGCATGCTCTCTTTTATTTTCAATATAGCGGCTGATTCCGTTTGGTCCTGCAAGGAAAGCGACCTTTAGTGGGTAAGTGTCAGTCTACCAAGCACAGGGGTCCCACCACAACAACACTACTCTTCATTCCAAGCTTATTCTCGCCTCATTTCACCATATGACAACAAAGTGAATGTTCTAAAATAGCTTTCACCTGCAGGTTTATTTAAATTGAATAAAAGTACCAAATACTTCCGATTACTACATAATATCATTGTTCATTGATTAACATATTTTCAACCTTATGCTGCATTCACATACAACTTCTGTCATTACATGTTGTCTAGTAGAATCGCAACAAGTCCCTCTGGAATATTAAAAACAGACCACGTTTTCCTTTCAAAGGAAACTGCTTATTCTTGATATGACATGATAATTATTTTTGAGCATATTTGTAACCTTTTCAAGCCTCATATCTCTAAATTATATGGGTTTGCTTCTGGGCGATCTACGACCCCTAATTTAGATTGTTTTACCCAATGGTGGATCAGCAAGGCCAGATAGATACCATCTATACAGATCTACAGAAAGCCTTTGACCGAATCGATCATTGTTTATTACTTCATAAATTATCAAACTATTGATTTTCTGAAAATCTACTCTCGTTCCTCCAGTCATATTTATTCATTTATTTACGGTTTCCCATTACATACAAAAAACATGACGTTTATGTGACAGATTAAAATAGCTTTATATAAATTATTGAACTAAAAAACATCTAAAGATTCATATTATACCCAATCTACGAGGTTTGTAAATTAAGTGATGAGACTGGCAACGTAGTGTTCGATCTGGCAACACTGGAGGCGCCGGGCTTGGAGTGGTGACAGGGGAACATGTGATCCGCCTTCAGTACAAGCTTGAACTCGCTCAAGTCATTTGGTTGTCCGTAGCGATTTTTTTTGTGTTCTAAAATTGAGTGACATCAATTTCAAGCAACGGTATGCTATCAGGTCTTGCTTCAGACTTGGGCACAGTTCAACGGAGACTCTTGCTAAACAGGCCTACGGAGAAGTGTTTTGTCAAGAGCCCAGGTTTTTCGGTGGGAGAGGGAGAGAGTCAATTGATGATGAACCACGGAACGAAAGGTCTTCATCTTCAAGAACCGTTGAAAATATCGACAGAATCCGGGATCTTGTTCGTACAGATCGTCGGTTGTCAAACAGAATGATCGGGAAAGAGTTAAATTTGACTCACATCACCGTTCATCAGATTTTGACCAGTGAATTGGGGATGAGAAAAACCTGCGCAAAAACGGTTCCTAAAAACCTTTCGCAGGACCAAAATGACATCAGGAAAGAAAGTTGCCTTGGCTTTCTGTCACACTTCAACCTCTCCAAGGCCTAAAAAAGCAATAAAGGAATGTCGAAGATCAGATGCATGATGATTTGTTTTTTCGATATCGGAATCGTCCACGAAGACTTTCTACATCAAGGCCAAACGGTCAATCAACACTTTTACCGGGAGGTTCTTGAAACTCCGAAAAAAGGTCATTCGCGTGAGACCAAACATTAAGAACTGGGTGTTGCATCACGAAAACGCTCCCTGTCACACATCAACGTCAATAAACGAGTTTTTGGCCAGTAAAACATTCCTCTGGTTCATCAGCCTCCTTATTCGCCTGGCTTGAGTCCCTGTGACTTTTGTTCGCTTCCCGAAGTTGGAAAATCGGTTTCAGCACTGCTATAAGGAGTGGAAGAACCGTCTCCAGACGGCAGTCATTTTGAGAGTGATACTATTGTAATTATGTTTGAACGAAAAATTTAAAAAAAATCAGTCTCATTACCTAATTTACAGAAATCGTATGTATATTTTTACTGTATTTTACATTGATATTTCCTACTATTGGGCGTATATGCCTGTTGGATATAAACTTTATTATTATTATTATCAAAATTCCTCAACACAACTTGTTGGAATAGTCCGAGAGCTGACACCTAAAGCCGGTGGTCGACACGTATTTAGTGGTGAGCATAACTGGTTGGTAGTCGCTACTTGAGTGTTGATTGACACTTGAAAGGGTGAGCGTCCTTTAAATTACACCAAGTGTAGGTTTAACAGTGGTCGCCATACACGCGCGTCCTACACGTCATGGATCAAAAGAAAGGGAGTGTGGGGGCATTTTCAATCAGAAAAACCATATATGACATTTTCCGATTGTGCACGGTTTTTGAGTTATCGCCATTTCGAAGAATTTGTAGAAAGTCGTTGCTTTTGAGATGGTAATCTTTTTTTCTCAAATGTTCTTTTGTTATTCCTCAATCAACTTTACAGGATATGTTCCCAAATAATGTTACGTTGTATTAATGTAGATGTAATAATCAGCTTAAACATAATTTCGTCTGGTGTCAAAAATATTACAGCATATTCAACAAGTCCTATATAAAAAATTAATGAGCAGATAAATTATCCACAGTTATGCAAAACTTCTGGGTATTGTGACCTTCCAAAATACAGTTTTTGCGTAGGATAGACAAAATGCTACAGGCCCCTAATTTCGAAAATTTCTATTTTGTGTACTGAATCCTATAACTGTTATTGTCAACCTTCTAGATTTCGAATAGGATGAGGAAACAAGGACTCTTAATCTTCAATCTTCAATCTGTTAAGCGACACCCAGGGGCGTACACACCTGCTCAGGTGGACGGGATCGTCCCTTTGCGGTTTGATTAAGATGGCCTTATGACCTTTGACAGGATTCATGAAGGCCCAGCTGCCGACTCCCCGGTGAATGAGCGACCACTCTCGCCTCTCCGCGGATCACTAGATCCAACGGTGGAAGATCCAGATCCTAACTATACCAACACTCTGTGAAATACTGAAGAGCTAATCTTACACTAACTGTAGTACTTCAATTTCACCATCTACGTCGATTCTAGCCCTTCATATACAGTAATGGACAAAAGTATATAGACAAATTAATATTGTGCTGTATTTCTTTTTTAACTTGTTTTATTAATACACCAACCTGTATACATAATTCGTTATAGCATAATACTCACTTATACATAAATAAATTCATTAGACTCCCTTCAATAAAAAATTAATTGAAAAAACTGGAACTATGAAGGACAAGAATATATAGACAAAGCAAAACAATCATAGAAAAAAGAACAAAGTTCAATTAATTATAGAAAACCAACCACGTTTGTCTTGATATTTATCAATCACCGCCTGGCATCGTCTCGGCATAGATTGTAGAAGTTTCTTGATAAAGGATTCATCAATCTGTCTCCACCTTTGCTCTAAAGCGGCAAAAAGTTCATCCTTGTTTGAATAATTTTTATCTCGTATTTGCTTATCTAAGTATTCCCATAGATTTTCAATGGGGTTTATATCGGAAGACTGTGAAGGGCATTTGAGAACTGGTATTTTTTCATCCTGAAAGAATTTCTTTGCAAGATTTGAAGTGTGCTTCGGATCATTATCTTGCTGGAAGATTGATCTTAAGGGCATATTGTATTCCATATAGGGTAACATAACATGCTTTAGTATGTCTGTGTATACAAACTTATCCATAATGCCATCTATTCTATGTAAAGGTCCCATCCCAAACCCCGAAAAGCACCCCCAAACCATAACAGACCCGCCTCCATGTTTGACAGTGGGCAAAGTGAACTTGGCGTTCAATCTTTGTCTACTAGGATGTCTAACGTAATGAACACCAAACATATTGAACTTGGATTCATCACTCACTGAAACATACCCTCTTCCAGTCACAGATGCTCCAATCAAGATGCAACCATGCAAATTGTAATCGGTCCTTACTGTTTTTTCTTCGAGATTAGCGGCTTCTTACGCGGGCGACGTGCAAATAACTTCAAATCATTTAATCTTCTACTTATAGTTTTCGTAGAAACACTGACAATTCCTGTTGTCTCGATTTCGGCTTTTATTTGTCTTGGGGTTTTAAACGGATCTTTGGACGAAATTACTTTTATTAATCTAATTGATCTAGCATTTAGTTTTCTAGGCCGACCACTTCTCTTAGAGGCTTCCAAGATACCTTTTTGTTTATATTTGTTCAATATTGCCCAAACTGATTTACGCTTCTGCTTCAAATTGCATGGCCTTAAAATCACTCAACTCATTCCACAATACTTGATGAACACAAACTAATCCGCTTCTGACTCGAAACTGTACTAAACTAATGTTGAAAAGAATTTGTCTACATATTTTTGTCCCTCATAAAAAAGTGCTTATATTCAGACTTGTATTGTGTTGATTGCAGATAATGTAAAAACAAGGAATTTAGTTTTTCTACTAATAACGCATTTGTTTATGGAGCAATGAAGTATGAATTCGTTTTCTAAAGGTATCTAGGTCTATGTACTTTTGTCCATTACTGAATATATCTCACAGTTATTTCTTGTACGATACCCTGGAGAATTTGATTTACTGGGATATCGGTTTCGATATTCTCGAGCAGCAAGTCAACTGTTCCCATTGCATAATCCATAAATGAAGCACATTTCTCCATATTCGTGTGGCGAGTAGGGCATTTTGCATAGAAATCACTATTATATAATCACAAAAGTAAAGTAAACACCGCGTTGCCTCTGCAACCCTTTCATAGTACGGAGCAGTAGTTTATTCTCCTACACATGTTTTATTATCCTATTCGTATTACAAAAATCCGCCATCGGATTAGGTAATACGGCACAGCTCCCTAACTCCGATCACCAAAAATAGTGTCAAAGCCATACATTGATTAGACATGAATTAATTTGAATTTGAGGGGTGATTGCCCCCTAATCGTTCATTGATTCGATTCGGGATGTAAAAGATCGCGAATGGCAGATTAAGTTCATGAAATGAAAATTCTCGATATTTAGGGTATCTTGCGCAGAAACTATTAATGATATTTGATTACTCAAAAACTATTTTCTAAGGCCAAATATCTCGAATTTCCTAATTATAAATAGTTTGTCTGCACACTATATGTTTTATACAAACTTGAATATGCTGTATTGTTTTTGACACCCAACAAAATTACGTTTGAGCCTAC